CAGTCTGCCTTCAGCCCCGGCCTCAGCCTCAGCCTGCCTCAGCCTCAGCCTGCATCAGCCTCAGCCTCAGCCTCAGCCTGCCTCAGCATCAGCCTGCCTCAGCCTCAGCCTCAGCCTGCCTCTGCCTCAGCCTCAGCCTGCTTCAGCCTCAGCCTCAGTCTGCCGTCGGCCTCGGCCTCAGCCTCAGCCTGCCTCAGCCTCAGCCTGCATCATCCTCAGCCTCAGCCTCAGCCTGCCTCAGCATCAGCCTGCCTCAGCCTCAGCCTCAGCCTGCCTCAGCCTCAGCCTCAGCCTGTTTCAGCCTCAGCCTCAGTCAGCCTTCAGCCTCGGCCTCAGCCTCGGCCTGCCTCAGCCTCAGCCTGCATCAGCCTCAGCCTCAGCCTCAGCCTCAGCCTGCCTCAGCATCAGCCTGCCTCAGCCTCAGCCTCAGCCTGCCTCTGCCTCAGCCTCAGCCTGCTTCAGCCTCAGCCTCCGTCTGCCGTCGGCCTCGGCCTCAGCCTCAGCCTGCCTCAGCCTCAGCCTGCATCAGCCTCAGCCTCAGCCTCAGCCTGCCTCAGCCTCAGCCTCAGCCTGCCTCAGCCTCAGCCTCAGCCTGCTTCAGCCTCAGACTCAGTCTGCCTTCAGCCTCGGCCTCAGCCTCCACCTGCCTCAGCCTGAGCCTGCATGAGCCTCAGCCTCAGCCTCAGCCTGCATGAGGCCTCATCCTAGCCTCAGCCTGCTCAGCCTCAGCTGCCTCAGCCTCAGCCTCAGCCTGCCTCAGCCTCAGCCTCAGCCTGCTTCAGCCTCAGCCTCAGTCTGCCTTCAGCCTCGGCCTCAGCCTCAGCCTGCCTCAGCCTCAGCCTGCCTCAGCCTCAGCCTCAGCCTGCCTCAGCATCAGCCTGCCTCAGCCTGCCTCTGCCTCAGCCTCAGCCTGCTTCAGCCTCAATCTGCCTTCAGCCTCAGCCTCAGCCTCAGCCTGCCTCAGCCAGCCTGCTCAGCCTCAGCCTCAGTCTGCTTCAGCCTCGGCCTAAGCCTCAGCCTGCCTCAGCCTCAGCATCAGCCTGCCTCAGCATTCAAAATGTGGCCCGGGAATGGAGTTCTGGGAACTCGAAGAACACGAAGTGGCCTACAGTTGGCTCCGGGCATTCAAAATCATGCCCAGGAATGGAGTTCTGGGAACTCGAAAACCACGAAGTGGCCTACAGTTGGCTCCGGGCATTCAAAATCATGCCCAGGAATGGGTTTCTGGGACCTCGAAGACCACGAAGTGTGTAACTGTTTGCTTAAATCGACTTCCGCGGCTTCTCCCCGGATCCTGCCCGGACCCCCCTGGGGCGTCGAGTACTCTCTTTTGACCCCACTAGAAACCTATCAGTCTTCGCTGTTAGGTAAAAACATTTTCTCGCCAGCTCCAGAGGGTTCATTCCAACCTCGGGAGGCTTTCCAACATCTGCGCCTCGCCGAAAGCGCTCCAGGGGTGCCCAGAACGCCCCGAACAGCCGCCGGAGTCCCGAGCAATGGCCCAGGAGCCGCACGTCCTCGCGTCATCATTTTCGCCATCTGGGGGCCCTTGCCAGGCCCTGGAACAGCAAAACAAAATCGGTGGGAAAACCGGGGAAATGGCCAGTATGGATCTGGGGAGCGGTTTTGAACCCTTGAGATCTGGGCGTCGCACTGTTTCACGCTGGGTCTTGTCACCCAGTTTCGGGCTCGGCACGCTCGTGGATCGATTCGGCTCGAGATATGGCGCAGAAAGACGGGATCGAGGGCGATACATTACTTTGGGGCTGTCGAATCATTTCGGAGATCGAACCATGACTTCGGACGAAAAGCTTCCGCAGAGGGAACGGCATTAAGAATTGAGATTTACCGACCCGACATTCTGGCGCACCCTTGCACATGTCTAGGCGCAGATTTTGAGGACAAGGCGGCGGACGAGGACCCATACCTCTCGAACATCTTGGAACAAACTGTTTGGCCTGCGGCGAGTTGGACCCAACAGGCGGCCCCGAGCAAACGGCGGGACGCATCCCTTGCGAATTGAGGCGCACGGGCGCAGGCGGGAGAGGGGCGAGGAGAAGGAAGGCCGCGGGACAGCCAGAGAATCCTCAGATCGCGTAGACTCCAGCATGTGCCTGGGAACAGGCTCACACTCACGACGCAGCCAGTGTAGACAAACAGACCAGGGGCAATCAGGGGCAGAAGCGATGAGCTCTCTCCCGGAACAAACAACAGAGTCTTACGATCTTCGCCATTTTCGGCCTCTGGAGGCCGGATCGGAGCCCCGGGGGGGCCGCCAGCAGTCGATCTGGGGCGAGAAGCTGGCCAGGGTTGACTCAGGGAGGGGTCTGGGCACTGATCCTCAGCAAATTTCGCCCTGACTCCGGTGATTTCGCAAGTAGGGCGGAAATCCCCGCCCTACTTTTCAAGCTCCTTTGATGTCAATTTCCGCCCTACTTTGCCGTCGCTGTTTCCGCCGCCCAGGAGGCTCTTCAACGGACTTCGCTAGAGTGTTTTTTTTGTGTTCGCCATCCGCGAGCTCAATTCATGTTGAATTCAAGGCCAGCTTTGCCCTTTCTTGCCTTCGTTGAAACATGTTTGCCTTCGGCCCGCCAGCACCGATCCTGGCCAGGCCCACCCCGGGCTCAGGATAGGTGCGTGCACCTTTTACGCTGAGGATCCAGAACTTCCAAAAGTCCTCTCACAATTTAAGCAAACACCTCTAAAATGGACAGAACGCGTTTCGTCGACGCTTGCTTGGACAAAAGTCCCTGGACATGTTGGAACCAGGAGAGAGGGGGCCCTGAAATATTTAAGGTGACGGTCCTGGGGCCCGTGGAGGGCCCCTGCACACCTTAACCGGTGGCAAGTCCTGGGGTCTGTTCCCCTCATAGCCCGTTTGCTTCTTTGGAGGCCTCCCACATGGGGTGCGAGTAGATGGGATGGGGTCGAAGGATCGCGTCGCATCGCCGATGCATCGACGATGCATCGGCGGTGCATCGGCGACGTCGTTCGGTGTGGAGAAAACCGACTCCGCATCCAGCCGCGTCGCCGATGCATCGGCGATGCGGCGCGACCCTCAGGCCCCATCTACTCGGACCCCCTTTGGGAGGCCTGGGTTCGCGGCGAGAAGACGCCCTCGGGCCAAAGCCCCCAGCCCCAGAGTCCCGAAAGCGGTGAAAACTCCATGGCCCGTTCCCTCAGGACCCGTTGGCTTCGTGGCGAGCAAAGATGCCCACACAGCTACTCCACGGACCCCTCCTGGGCTGCGTATCGACCATAATTTCGAGGCGGATCCAGCCGCGGCGACGCTCCAGGATTGCTCTCCAGGTGTCTCCTCCTCCTCTGGCGATGCTCGAGCTTCGAGCCTCGACCACCAGAGAACCCCGGCGCTCCACTGCTCCGTCGTCGTCGCGGTCGTTGTGGTTGTCGTGGTGTGGACGTCGTGGTCGTCATGGTGGTGGTCGTGGTCGTGGTCGTGGTCGTGGTCGTGGTCGTGGTCGTGGTCGTCGTGGTCGTCGTGGTCGTCGTGGTCGTCGTCGTGGTCGTCGTGGTCGTCGTGGTCGTCGTGGTCGTGGTCCTCCAGCGACCGGTCCCTCGAGGCGGCCGCCCCGCCGAGCAGCTGGGCGGGGGCGGCGGCCCCGGGCGCGAGCACGGAGACCGTGGGCGGCGCCTGCCTCCCCGGGCCGCCCGCGCCTGGCGGGCGCGGGAGGGCAGAGTGCCGCCCTCGACCTCGCCATCGCTCGGACGTCCATTCCCTGTGTTTTTTTTTTGTCGGTTTCGTGCGTGGTTTTTCCGCCAAAGGATCAAGGATGCTCCTCGATGGTCCTCCTCGCCGAAGGAAACATGCACACCTCCGAGCGATGCCGAGCGACAAGATTAGCCCCGATGTTGTGTTGTGAAGTAAGCCCCCTTGTCGATGTGGTGTTCTGGGTTTGGGTGGCATTGCGTGCCAAGTACTCGTTGGCGCCCCCCGCCCCTCTAATGTCGGCCATCGTGGAACTTCCGAGTCACGCCCGCTCAGATCGCGTTTCGCCCTGCTTCGACATTAAAGGGGGGCGACATTGAAGGCGCGAACGGGGGCGACATTGAAGGGGGTCGTCAACAATTATTGTGCCTGACTTTGTCGAGGGTTGTGGTACACAGACCCCTCGCGTCGTGAAGAAAACACGACGGACGTTTTGCTTGCTGCTATTTTCGGGCTCCGGGGAACACACGGCGGGCCCAGGGACCGCCCCAAAAAAGACTTGGGATGAAAAGCTGGTCCCGGGGAATGGGTCGAGTCCTCTGGCGTCGACCCTCTGGAAAATCGTAGCGTCGGGGGTCAGGGCACTGTAAGATCCCTTGGAGGCACACGTCTGAATCGAAGACTTAGCACATGTATATCGTTGCCCAGGCAGCATCCCCGGAGAGCGCCCGCCACCGAGCCCGCGTTGGAAGGATCCAGGGCGCGCGAGTCGCCTCTGCGGGGCCGATGCGCACACAATACCAGTACGCTTGGGTGATGCCGGAACCAGGCGGACCGCAGAGATCCTCCACGTGGGAGGGAGCGGCTCACGGGATGTGGCCTCTGGGTGCGCTCCTCGTCGCCACGGCGGGGCGCAGCTCGAAGAATTGGCCAGAACGGACCCCGAGATGGATCTCGGGAGCGATCTTGAGCTGATTGGCGTGAGAAACGGGCGTCGATTTCTTTTCACGCCAGGTCTTTTCACCTGGTTCCAGGCCCTGGTACGCTCATGGATCGGGTCGACTCGAGAAACGCCTTAGGCAGATGGGGTCGGAGGCTCAGCTGCAGATGTTTCACAAGCCTGGCCGTACCCAGTTGGCGACGCGCAAAAAGGGATGGCGCAACGGGGCGGCCTTCTGAGAAGCTGGGAAGGCTTCCTGCAACCTTCTTAGAAGGCGGCCCTCCCCACGCTACCTCCTTGTGAGCGCCGCCAACCCAAAGATCCTTCACAGGTAAGGAAACGGCCCAGGGGATCGAAAACTTCCACTCGAAAGGTCGAGCCTCAACTTCTGGGAGGGCACATATCTTCAGAATTGAAGAGCAACACGTCTCCAGAATGGAGAGCGGACCTCTGTTTTGAAGTTCCCGTTCCCCCAGGAAGGGCTCTGGATGAGAGGGGGGCTGGATGTTTTTCGCTGTTTTCGGCCTCCCCACCAGGCCCTCCCTTAGTGCACCATGACAATCAACAAAACAGCGCAGGCTCAGGATGGGAAGCTGGTCCGACACGATACCCTGGCACGACAGCACCCTCCGTGCCAACGACAGGGTATCGTTGGCCCTCCGTGCCAACGATACCCTGGCACGACAGGTTCACGTCGTGACGACGTCGGCGTTGGTTCCTGACACCGCGTGGATCGTTCAATCGTGAAAGATCCTGGCATTCCGATCAGGCGCACCGTTGAATATCGACGGATTCCAACCCTTTGGCGGCGCTCAACCTTGGATGCCAGCGCTGCGGTCGCCGACGCGTCAACGCGGCGTACCCAGATCTTCCAGCGTCGTGAAAAAACTTGCAGCGGCGTTTGCTTCTTATTTTCGAGCCCCTCAAGGCCCGCTGTGGGCCCTACGTTGGCAGACATAAACGACCCGCGACAAGAAGCTGGCCGGGGGAAGGGGTGCGCCTGGGGGCCCACGGGTAAACAAAAAAAAAACGCTGGATTGTTCTGGGAACGCCGGCGTTGGAGGAGGAGGAGGAGGAGGAGGAGGAGGAGGAGGAGGAGGAGGAGGAGGAGGGGGAGGGGGAGGAGGGGAGGGGAGGAGGAGGAGGAGGAGGAGGAGGAGGAGGAGGAGGAGGAGGAGGCCAAACAACAAAAATCAGATGGGAGGGGCGAGGATCTGGAAAACGAGAGAGGCATGAAGGGATGAAGAGGAGGAAGAGGAGGAGTAGGAGGAAGAGGAAGGTGAGGGGGAGGCGAGGAGGAGGAGGAGGACGAGAAAGAGGAGGAGGAGGCGAGCGAGGAGGCGAGCGAGGAGGCGGAGGAGGGGAGGGGGAGGAGGGAGGAGGAGGAGGAGGAGAGCGAGGAGGAGAACAAGAAGGAGGAGGAAGAGGAGGAGGATGAAGAAGAGGGAAGATGGTAGGGGGGAGGAGGAGGAGGGGAGGAGGAGGAGGAGAGGAGGAGGAGGAGGAGGAGGAGGAGGAGGAGGAGGAGGAGGGGGAGGGGGAGGAGGAGGAGAGCGAGCAGGAGGAGGGGGAGGAGAGCGAGGAGGAGGAGGAGAGCGAGGGGGAAGGAGGAGTGGTGAACAGGAGGACGACGAGGAGCAGGGAGGAGTGGGAGGATGAGAGAGGAGGGGGGAGCGACCACTACTGAAGGTGCACTCGCTATACAGACTACCTGCTAGACCACCCAAACCTATCCCGAAGACCCAAGTTTCGGGTTGGGAGGGCACGGGTTCCACATGTGTTGTTTCGATGTTACCCGCCCCCCCCCACTGGAAGTGGAGGGTAAAGTTGGGCCTTCGGGCTGGGTTGGTGGGTGGTGCTTTACTTCTGCCTGCTTCCGCCGACCTCCGCCAGCGAGCCCGCCAGCGTTCTGCCTCCGCCGGCCTCCCGCCAACCTCCGCCGGGAGGAGCGAGAGATCCCCACCCGATCGACCCGCTGAAGACGGAGAGCTCGATTCCGAGGCGCCCCTCGCCTGGAGCCCGGCTGCCTGCCCTGCGCTCTCTCTGCAGGGCCTGCAGCTTGTGCTGCCACTCCGACGAGGCCATCGGCTCCGATGACGCTGCCCCGGGCGGCGCGGGGGGGGCCAAGCTGGTGGGCGGCTCGTGGGCCCAGGTAGCCATGGGAAGGAGGAAGGGGAGGCAGGGTAGAGGAGGGGGAGAAGGGAGGAGTGAGGGGAGCGGAGGCAGGAGGCGGGGGACGAGGTAGAGGGAGGCAGTGGAGGGAGAGGGAGAAGGAGGCGATGAGGGATGAGCTGAGCAAGGGGGATGAGGGATGATGATGATGATGATGATGATGATGATGATGATGAGGAGGAGGAGGAGGAGGAGGGGGAGGAGGAGGAGGAGGAGGAGGAGGAGGAGGAGCGAGCGTCCAAGAAGAAGGTCAAGGTCAGCCCCGCCTAGGGCCGCTGAGTGCGCGCGAGCGCCGAACCTCTCAGGCTCGTGTCGAAGTAGTCCAGGGCGTCGTAGGCGGGGGCCAGGAAGTCGACCGAGTCGTAGGGCGCACCGTCGGAGGGCGCCATGGTGAACTCGTCGACGCTGAGCTCGATCAGGTCAGCAAGATCGTAATCGGGGAAGGCCGCACCAGGCAGATCCGTCATCATGACAGGGGCCGCGAACTCAGTTCCCATCTGAAGGTCATGAGCAGCATCGTGTGGAGTGCCATGGACAGGCTCCCGAGGAGAAAGTGGAGCAACCACCGCTTCATCTTCTTCGCCAGGTACCGCAATAGCATCTTCATGATGCCAAGGTGGAAGGCGATCCCCAGGTGGGTCATCCTGCACTCGTGGAACTTGGCGTTCACGATCCGCAGCGTCGCTTTCAGACGGAGGATGGGCCACAGGTGGATGTGCCATGTCAGGAGGTGAACCGTGGGCCAAAAGAAGAGCTCCTCCCAAGGAGCCATCAGGGTAGATGACCCCAAAGCCGTGAGCTGCCATCGTCGCATCGAAGTCGTCACCAGTGCCCGACGACCCACTCGACGAGCTGCTCGTGCTCCGTGCCAACAGCGCCGTGGGCGACGCGGGGCGCGGGGCGCTCCGTGATGAGCAAGCTGTGGGGTCGCGAGCAGCGGCCTCATCAGGACCATCACGAGAGCGTCGTAGGATACGCTGGAGTTGGCGGTCAAATTCCTCATCGCTGAGAACTGGCCCATGATGTGGTCCATGCTCTTCATCTTGCATCACGACGTCAGAATCGTGGTCCGTCAGATTGTCGCCGCCGACCGTGCCCGAAATCATAACCTCGAGGTCCAAGGGAGAGGGATTCGGAACACCTTCGTGGTCGACACTATCATAATCTTCATCAGGGGGTACACCGTACAGAGTAAGCTCCCCGCTCGCCTGGTCCGTGAGCAAATGCGGGAAAAGGAGGAGGTGCGGCAAGGCCTCAGGCGGTGTAGTCGGGGAGGCCGCTGTATTCTGCATCAGGAAGTCGTCGCGGCTGGCTGCGGACATGCGGGACGGGTCGGCCCGCCACCCAAGCTTCATCAGGTGTGCAATGGCCAAAAGACGGAGGCGACGAAGTCGCTTCTCATCATGCGCAGGCCAGGGGTCACGAAGGAGACGACGAAGTTGCTCTCGTGCAAAGGCGCTGCTGTACCATCCGCCGAGACACCAGTCCAGCGCGAGTTGTCTCTGGTTCGCCCAACCACCGCCCAGGATTTGTAGGTCATCATACCTGAGCACGTCCTCCACGTAGTCAGGACACCATTGAATCCATTGTTCGTGGTCCGTTCCGCATAAATTGACCAGCGACGAAGGAATCCGAACACGGGCCCAAACTTCGATCCTGTCCACCAGAGCTTCACGTCGCCCAGCAATCGGTAGGGCAGTCTCTTCGGGCGCAGGAACAAAGGATTCAAGAAGCGCAGGAAGATCGTCCTCGTGAATCGTAGCTGCAATCTGAATAGTGCCCTCGCTGTCCAAAACTTGTCCTTCACTGTGGCCGAACGCTCCACCCTCTTGGCCAGTGCGACTCGAAGAAGAGGCCAACGATGGTAGAGAAGGGATCGACGCGCTCGTCGTAGTTGCATATGAAGTGCTTGTTATGTCCCCATGGGCAGCAGCCAGCGGCTGAAAGATGAGCCCCAGCGTGAAGACGATCATGGATGGTATGTCGTTGGAAATCCCAGCTTGAGCCGCGATGCTCTGCGGATGTGACATACTGCATATCGGAGTCGCTGGACGTCGGGAATCGGATTGCCATGCCACTCTAACAAGGGGCTCGAACCCCGCCCGCATCCCATGCATCAGATGTCCAGAACCAGTGACAGTGGCAGAGTCGAGAGACGCCTCCAGATCTGACGAAGTAGCCGCAGCATGAGGCGGCGGTGGCGACGATGGTCTGCAGCAAGAGGATGGCGGTGCTGATCTCGGTGATGCTGGCAATGAAGACAAACTCTCCGCGAGATCGAAAGCGCCTTCAATGACGTCGAAGGTTAGCACCGATGGTGGGTAACAGGACAATTCGCTCGAAGGCGGGGAGGACGAACCAGGTGAAGACGAGGAAGATGAAGAGGAGGACGATGAAGAGCAGGGAGGTGCATTTCTTTTGTCATGATGCTCACGTCCAGCGCGCCGTGCTCGAAGGGGAGTTCTCGACGGGGCTGTAGCTCCCAGCTGTGCCGTACGAATAGCCGCCTTAACAAACGAGCGTGCCGCCTCTCTAGGCCAGAGGTAAGAAGCTGACGAATGGGCGGCACAAACATAAGTATAGTACATCACCACGATGTCCAAGACTATCTTGCCCAGTTCGACTGCCGAGCCCAGTAGGCCGAGACGCCCCAACGGCGAGGAGGGCCGCGAGTAGCCACCTCACACAGGATACTTCAACCGCATGGGCGCCTCTCTTGCCGACTTGGTTGTCTTAGAGAACCCGATGCTGTGCACCACTACCTCCAGTGCCGACCATTTCGCTTGCTCGTGGAGCAAGAGGAGGAGGAGGAGGAGGAGGAGGAGGAGGAGGAGGAGGAGGAGGAGGAGGAGGAGGAGGAGGAGGAGGAGGAGGAGGAGGAGGAGGAGGGGGATGAGTCTGAACATGGATGACGACGACGAGGAGAGAGAGGATGAGAATGAGGAGGAAGACATGAGGATGGCCTCCTCTGGCCTTGATCATCTGTATCCTCCCTTCTCCTCGTCCTCCTCCTCCTCCTCCTCCTCGCCATCCTCATCCTCCCCATCATCACCGTCACCATCACCATCACCATCACCATTACCATCACCATCACCATCACCGCCGACATCACCATCACCGCCGACATCACCATCACCATCACCATCACCATCACCATCACCATCACCATCACCATCACCATCATCATCATCATCATCATCATCATCATCATCATCATCATC